ATGATTAAGAAAGTAAGAAGGAGGAAGACAGGAGAGAGAAGAATGAAAGAGGGAGAGAGAGACGGCTGGAAGTGGAGATGCGAAGGCAGGGGAGAGACCCGAGTCTAAAGGCGCAGTGAGGAGATCTGCACAGCCAGCTGAGACGTGCCTGCGAGGCCTGTGAACTCAGGCGCGCACGGTGGGCTTTATTTGTCCTGGGACTGTGGTCAAGTTTGCTTTAAGCTCTCCATTTTGTCAGAGTCAGAACATGTTAGTTCTTCGCGCTTAAAAGTCGTTACAACCAGCGATCGCTGTGTCCTGTGGGTTTACAGCCAGTGTGAGCCCCACACGTCCCCCTGTTGATGGTGCTAAATGCCAGTGTTAAGGACAGGCCATCGGTGGTGCTGGGAGCATCAGATCGCTCCACCTCACCTGTGTGCTGCGACCCACCCTGACCTTGCCCGAGCCCCTGGCGGGCACACACCCTCTCGCTGTCACCAGGTGTGTGGCTTATTCATGTCGGTCACCAAGGCCGTGGGCCTGTGGGGATGACCTGCCGTGTCCCTCCAGGCCGCAGGGGCTGGGCCTTCTCAGCCTTAGGCGATTGTGCTGCCATTTCTTCTCCAGAGAGGCTGCACCCTAAGACAAAGCCGTCTCTGTGAGGTCACCCTGGGGAGTGACAGCAGGTCTGCATTAGCTCTGATGCCCACACGGCACTTGAGACTTGTCTGTCCCACCGCCTCACCTGGCTGCCACTTTGACAGAGGGGGCGGGAAACTGGGGCTGCATTCCTGCAGCTGGCACAGCACCTCCACTCCCATCTCTGCCAGCTCTCCGGGGTGTCCTGCCCCACGTGGACTTGGGTCTTGTTTTGTTTTTATTCTTTACAGTGGGGAGTGAGGCGTGGGGGAAATGCACACTCACATCTCTACAAACATGTTTCAGGACCCGCACCTGGACCACACTTAGGAATTTAGAAGCCTGTAGTTTTAACTTGTGCTGTGTGGGGACCAAGGTCCTCAGGGTGTAAGTAAAATTGGGAGAAAAATAACAGGTGTGTGTATCCCTTCTTGTACACATGCTCACACACCTACTCACACACACACACACACACACACACACACACGCACACACACACGCACACACGCACACACATGTATATACATACAAGTTCTGACAATTAAGTCCCTGAACTTGTTGCAATGCTGTTTCTATCCTTTTTGATATCAGAGGGATTACTCATTATGAATTTGTACCAACTGGACTAACAGTTAACCAAGTTTACTATTTGGAAGTGCTGAAAAGGCTGCTTGAAAAAGTTAAATGAAAACGACCTGAACTTGTCGCCAATAATTCATGGCTCTTGCATCACGACAATGCACCATCTCACACGGCACTGTCTGGAGGGAGTTTTTAGCCAGTAAACAAATAACTGTATTGGAACACCCTCCCTACTCACCTGATCTGGCCCCCAATGACTTCTTTCTTTACCCGAAGATAAAGGAAATATTGAAAGGAAGACATTTTAATGACACTCAGGACATCAAGGGTAACATGACGACAGCTCTGATGGCCATTCCAGACAAAGAGTTCCAAAATTGCTTTGAAGGCTGCAGTCAAACTAAGAGGTTTTCACCAGCAGGATTTGAAAAGGCTTTTTTAACAAATGAGATGATAGAGTCATAAGACCAGAAGTGCAACAGTTGTTGGACTATAGAAACAAAAGTGCTGTGATGATGTCACTACTCTAAGAATAGTTTGTGCCAATTTCTCCTGATGTCGTCGACCAAGGTTCCGTTATCAGGCACCATGGCCTCCACAGGACGACCGTGGCCTGCTTTGCAGTGTTCAATGCGTTATTGCCAGAAACACGATAAAGTGGTCAAGAGCGGTGATATCATCAGGGTCCTCGATCACACTTTACTAAGACTGTGCAAGGGAACGTGATGGACTGCACGGGAAGCAAGGATGAGAGACAGAGGTTCTGTTGGTACCATGGTTACCCCTCGCGGCCTCGTGCGCGCTGGGCTGCTGCAAGTGGCATGTGGGCCTGCAGGATGGACACGGGGGCCCCGCTGCACTTCTGTATGTTTGACGACACCTGGAATTTATATGGGCGCCCAGTTTAAGAGGGTCGTAAAAAGTGGTGACGTTCTCTCCAGTTCCAACTCTCCCTAACCCATTATTAATCATATCATTTGTTTATTTCTGCCTAGTGCTGTGACACACTTTTTTCTTCTTGTTTGATTTGTTTACTGTGTATTTTTTCCTCCCTTTAAGTAGGTTGTTATTGCCATGATGTGGGCCTTTGTCTTATTAATTTGTACATCTTTGGTACCAAGAATAGAGTGTGACACACAATAGATGTTCAATAAAATTTTTTTGGAAAAAATGATGAAAAATGTAAAAACTGAAATTGAAGTAAACTGAAAGGCCAGAAAGTTGGGGCCTAGAAGAAAGACAAACAATAGTTGTTTTCAAAACACAGTCCTTATACTTATTCCATTTATTTAATGTGGTTCCAGAGGTTCAAACACAGACACAGGAGCAGGAATTATAGAGGGATGTGTCTAAAATGTATAGCTCTCTTAAATGACTGACAATTAAATTGTGTCTACGTGTTGGTTTTTACACTTTTCACTTTCAAAAACAGTCCATATTATATATCTGTAGTGAAGTGTTCTTCAAGATTATTTCCATAGATTGTATTTGCCCTGGACGGTCGGTGAAGGTCTTCCCAGACAGATACATTTGGAAAACTGCATATTTTTACATTCTCTTGAGTAGATAAAAGAAATTTTTGTACCTTAAATTTTAATAAGCTGAGAGCCCCCTTTAGAAAAGAAAGATGCTTGATTTGGTTTAATCCAGAATTTTAAAAATTGGTTTCACCCTGATTCAATGGCTTTTACAGACACCCGTGACCATCCCCAGGTCATGGGAAACGTTTGTGTCTCGTGACTGGGCTAAGATTCCCTCGGATATTGCAGATGAGACTTTCCCAATGAGCGGGAAAGGAAAGCGTTTCTTTATGTTCCCCTCTTTTCTCTGCTATTAATTTTATCTGTGACATGGGAGACTCGGCGTCTTTGCCCCAGAAGGCTCTCTTTTGCTCTCATTTCCATCAACTCCAACCTCAGGGTTTGTGAAATCGGAGACACAAGTAGAGTTTCCTGCCGTGGCGACAGGCTTGTCACACGGTGATGGCGCTGTGCTCAGCGCCCAGGCCTGGAGCAGGCTGGTGTGTGCCGGAGCCCGACGGGTGCCTCTGGCTGTGGCTTGTGCACCTGACGAACTTGGTTCTGCAGCCGCACGGCCTGAGGCTCGCAACCTAGCGCTGCGTGTTTTCAGAGGCAGCTCTGGAGCCAAAGCAGGTTTTCTTCTAACTCTAGGTGGATGGATTACTGTTTTCTACAACGAATGATTCTTTCCCCGTAAGATGTATTTATGAAATACATTTTCACTGGCCTTCTAATTAATGTTCATGATAGTACTATAGATTCTTTACTGAGAAATTATCTTTTTCTTCTCTTTTTCATTGGAGCAAGTGTTTTCTTCTAAATTTTATGACAAGCACACTTAACATGAGATTTACCCTCTTACTAGATTTTAAGTGTTCAGCATTGTTGACAGTAATAGGCACAATGATGGACAGCAGCTCTCTAGAACGATCCATCTTATTAGTAGCTTAAACCTTGTGCCTGTCGGTTAGTCACCCTTGGCTTCCCCTCCCCCAGCCCTGAGGTACCACCATTCCCGCCATTGTGGTTATGAACTGGACCGTTAATACTTCAGATACCCCATGGAAGTGGACTCCTGTGGCTCATGTCGTTCTTGTCCTGAGACATTTTCTTAACCTGGGCTTTTTCAGTTCTTGTTCCTGTACGATATTTATTCACATGGAGTGACATCTTCCCACTCAAGCCACCGCACACAGGCCCCCTTTGGTATTAGCTCTGTTTTAGGGCAGACTTGTTATGGTTTCCATATTTCTTTAGCTGTGAAGTTGGCACAGATGTTTGAACCCGGGTCTTGTGACTGTGCCCTGGGACACATGACAAGTTCCCTCTGTGGACATGCCTGTGGCTTGCTCCATGTGTAATACTGTTTGACGCTTAACACAGTAGCAGCACTGGCATAGTTTTTAAAGAAGTCTTCTAGGAATAACAGAGTTGTTTCTTGTTTTCTCATTTCTCAGGGTTGGTGCAAATGTCCAGTTCTCCTGTGAGGACAGTTACGTGCTCCAGGGTTCCAAAAGCATCACCTGTCAGAGGGTCACCGAGACACTGGCCGCGTGGAGTGACCATCGGCCGATTTGCCGAGGTGAGGAGGGCGCGATGGGCCAGGGCCAGGTGCTGTCTGTCAGCAGGTCACCGTGTTTTCTGAAGACACATGACGTTTAAGCACAAAGTGTTATGTGCAGATGGAGCAGAACTGGGTGATAGCGTGTGTTTTCATATCGATGGTGGACAAAAGAGAAAGAGTGCCTTGAAATTTGCTGGGAGGCAGACATTTCCAAGGACATTTGTGGTTTTAAATTTTAGGAAAGGTACGAGCAGATCTAATCATTCAAACTCACACACTCCACACACCCAGGCAATCATCTTTATTTATATACACAGTTTGCATATGTGTGAAAATATGTTACATAACCAGATCCCTGCTGATCTAAAAATTATCACCTTTCAGTGGTAGTGAAGTTAATTCTTTTGATGTCAGTGACAAAGGGAGTTTCATAGGATGACCCCCAAGTCAATGCTTCGTTAGTACGTTATCTTACACTAACCTCTGACACAGCTAGCGGGACAAAACACTGCACTGTCACCTTCTTCAAAGCACTGAGTTGTCACTTCTGTGAAGGATGTCACAGCCTCACCAGGTTACAGAGGCCATGGTGAACCCAGCAGGAACCTGTTGGCAGTTTTAATATGGAAAAATTAATAAAATCAAAGGAAAATAATGGGGGTGGGTTGTGTTTGTTTCGTTTTGTTTTGTACTTTAGCCAAAAACTAATCTATGCAAATTGGTAGTTTTGAAGGAAGAAAAGAGTAGCACTAGGTTGATCTAGGAATAAGGGAAGTTTCGTGTACGTACAGGAATATCTTACCGTTCCGTAGCATCTTTCTCAGGTGAATGGATTTATACATTTCCCTTGTAAACAGTGTCAGCTACGTCTTGCAAAATGAAGTAGTTACCAAAGACGTTGCTAGCTTTGTCTGAGGTAAGAATACTGTGCTGTAGGATTCACTGTGTCGCACCCCTTCTGTGACCACCTGCGGCTTTTCACGTGTGGAACACACAGCCAGCGGCGCCCAGGTGTGTCCAAGGCAGAGAGGGCGGGCGTCTGGCTGCAGGGGGCTGTTTTCTGTGAAACAAAGACCCTTCGCGGAGAAGCTGCAGTCTCCAGTCAGGGAAGTGGCAGGACCGTTCCTGCTGCTTTCTGTCACTACACTACTTTGCATGTTGAGTATTACTAGAAAGTGACATTATGAGGTTTTCAAAGGAACTGTAGCCCAAATCATGTTCCCACCGAGTGGTGGTCACCTGTGATGCTCCCAGGTGTAGATGAGGACTAAGTCACAGGTAGTTGTTTTCCTAAGAAAAACCACATGACTTTATGCTTTAATGGTTGTCTTGCTCTTCTGTACCAGAAACATATATCATCATTTTAAAATCCAAATGAGACAAAACTAGGAAATATGCATGTGTTTTAAATTGTTAGAGTAACATGGAGAAAATATGTGGCCAGTGCACTGTTTGGTTCTTGTGTTATTTATTCATCCATGGCGTTTACTGTTTTTGACCTGACTCATGTTATGCTCAAAAAACAAAAACAAAAACAAACAAAAAACGCCCCCATCACCGAGTCAGTGTTTCAGCCCCACGGGACAGCCGCCTCAGTGTGAAGGCCTGGGGTGCTGTCTCAGCCCCCAGAGCTCCGCCCAGGCCAGCCCCCCGGCCACGTGCCCGCATCCCACATCCCTGGATGCAGTTAGAAAGGGCCCCTTTCGGCTTCCTGTTCCTGTGGAACCCTGGGTCCTACAGCCCCCCAGCCACGTGCCCGCATCCCACATCCCTGGATGCAGTTAGAAAGGGCCCCTTTCGGCTTCCTGCTCCTGTGGACCCCTGGGTCCTACTGGATCACACGTGAGAAGAGAACTGGTCTCCCAGGACATGCGTCTCTCCTGAGGCGGTGAGGTCAGCTGTCTCACGAAGGGCTCACCCCGCCTCCCGCGTCTTACCCACAAGCAGGGGCGCTCAGCTTAGTCACCTCCTGCCCCACCCGGCTGGCGTGGCACTGGTTTTGCTCAGCCTAGAGACACCTTCATTTTCATGGAGTAATCCCTTCGTTCTTGTTCAATGTATGACTTTTAACTTTCTGAAATAATGAGCGGTAACAGCTGGACATAACTCTTAAAGTGTTTTCAGGGAGGACGCACATAGCAAATCTATATGCTTCACCAGAGCAGAGTGTGTCTGGGGAACCATAACAGACAGTATTTTAAAAGCCTACAGTTTTAAAGACTATATATTTCAGTATATTTGTAGTAGTGAAGCATTAGACAAAAAAAATAAATTAAATAAATAAAAAGTCCCCAAATCTCCTTAATAGAAGAATTTGAGGTATACTGTTTAGAATTAGGTAATAAAAATCAGGTGACAAAAATCCAAACCCAAGAGAAGCTTAAACCAAATGGGAATAGATCTGTCTCTCATACAATAGTTAAGAGTTAGTACAGGACTGGCGGGAATATGTGTGTCAGGGAAGAAAATTTCCTCCACTCTCCGTGTCACGCTGTGGTCAGTCTGCCCTCCGTGGTCCGAGGTGCAGCCCACACCCCAGGCGCTAGGATGGGGGAGGTTAGAAGAAGTGGGGAGACATAGAAGCTGAACCTTAAGGAGTGTATGTATGTCTGTGCAACCCCATTGGACAAATTCCAGTCAGATAACTTTACCTTGTCATGAGATGTAGGAATATTTTTGTTCTCGGCAGTCAAGTTTACAACAATTATATTTCTGTGGAAGAAAAGGAGACTAGATACTAAGGGAAAGTGGCAATCTCTGCCACGGGGATATACTTCCGTAAGAAGGAAAGATGGAATAAATCATTGAGTAAATGTCACAATTTTTTTTTTTTTTGGTTCCTATGTCATCTGCAGCTTTTCATGTGCAGGAGGACAAACAGATTAGGCAATCACCCAGCCCTCTCTCACATCCCTTGGCATTTGTGTATCAGTGAAGGATTTTAGTTGTGAGCAGTATGGGTGAAAAGAAAGTGCTGTATGCACACAAATAGCCCACGCTGTGCACGGGGAAACGCTCATTCTGAGGATCACGGCGCAGTGAGAAGCCTGCCCTCCACTTCCACACCCCCCTGCCTGTCTCCGCCCTGTGCTCTGGGCCACGTGTCTCACAGGACGGCTGCCTCCTCCTCCCAGTCTGTAGGACAGAGTTCTGTGTCACATCCAGTAACGACCTGTACCATGACCCGATCCACTGCTTGCACGGAGGGATGGCAAGTGCACCCATGCACCTGTGGCTGCTCCCGGGCGGGGTCTGGGGGGGCTGGAGGGGCTCTAAGTCCGTGCTCTCCACCAGAAGGGAAATGCAAGCCACATTACAGAAGTAAAAGAAACAGGGGCAGTTAATTTCAGTAACATTCATCTGCGCTTATATTCAGAATATATTATCATTTTAACATAGAGTCAGTGTAAAGATTATGAAGTGTTTTACATTCCCTCCGCCTCCCTCCACCTCCCTCTCCCAAGTCTTGGAAATCCAGTGTCCATTTCACACTCAGCACATCTCTGCTCAGACCAGCCACGTCTGAAATGCCCAGTGGTCATCTGTGATGGGGCCTGCCTTGGGCAGCACAACTCGAGATATTGAGCCCAGTCCATGGTCCTGGTTTTCTTCCCAAGGCGGGAAGCAGCAAATCCCGTTGGAGGTGTGAGGAAGAAATGAGCTCAGGGCCTCACGACCTGTGTCCTGGCTGGCACCCTTCGCTGGAGAACGTACTTTCTATAACTAAAATCCGCAGTTTTTTCAAGCTGGCAGCACTTAGTAACACTGAGACTGTCGTCGTCCCCTCCTTTACATCGTGTCTCTGCTGGCTTTAATGACGGATTCGTTCATTGCAGAAGAGCTAACAATGTTTCTAAGTAGAGCTTTTATAACTATTTCTATAAGAAGGTAGCTTTAACGTAGGGGGAAGTGGATAACAGACTTAACAGTATGTCCAGCGCTACACAAAACAGACTCTGGGAACAGTTCCTTTTTTATCAGTAGGTTCCAGCGGCCAGGTGCAGTTTCCCAGGTTCACTTCTGCTCTGCGATGTTCCCATAATAAATAGGCTGTAAGAAGAGAACATGATGGCTGGGTTTTCCCGATTCACTTGGCACCTTTAAAGGAGCCCTTATATTGATCATCTCAGTCACATAGTCTGAATTCAGCCATCTGTCAAATACAGTACAATGCCTCTGCTCAGGCAGCGCGCACATTATGAGATTTCAGTTCAGGGAATTAGGAGGGGCTGACTCTCAAGGTTCCCATCTTCACGAAGGGTCCCTAACTCTTCAGTAATTATGGTGCCTTCTCTACAGAGGAACATCCGATGGGAGCCGCTGATAAATGCCTGGGACTCTGAGAGCACTCCCATCAGGCACTGGGGTCCGCAGCCAGTGCCCAATTTAGCTAATTAGCTCACGGACAGGGGAGGGTCACCTGTTCTTCCTGCTACCAGACACTTGGATGGCTGTCACAGCTCAGAAATTCTACAAGTGAGTTTATTTAAAATTATGCCTACTTCATTTAGGGATATGGAAACAACTATTATGATTTTCACAGGGTAAAATATTGTGAGCTGTTTAACGGTTTAAGCATCTTTAACTGGTAGTAGATTTTTAAAAGCAAACAAAAAAGAGGATCTAGATTTTGTTTATTTATTTTAAGTAAAATATTCCAGCTGTCACTTCATTCCATTAATCGTTAGGATATATCTTCCCTCAATGTTAATACACTTTGATGTGCAGAATTCACGGTTTTAGTTGCTGCTCGCTGAGTTGAAAGGGCACAGAAGAAAAGTGGAATGTTATTTGCAGTTGTAACTGTGCTTACATGGAAGCCAGTGAGAGCCACCGTGGGTCACAGAATAAAGTTATTATTACCCTGGGGTTCCAGGTTAGGTTAGCTAAGAAACATCCTTTAGTTATTAACTTGTCATTTTCCAAGACTTGTGTAGCTTCCTTTTTCTACCCATGTTTTCGGTCCATGCAGAAATGACCTTTGATACCCGAAAGCTGACTCTTCATTCTACCAGATT